TCATGCTGGGGTTGGGGTGGACCTGGCCCCACCCCCTTGTTCCCGGGACCACACCCCCTGTTCACCTGACTACCTCACAGGTCCACCTGTCCCAGGAAATCACTCCGGGCAGAACCACCTCTCCCAGGAAGTCACAAGCAAAGAGTAATGAGATGAGTGTGACAGTAAGAGCGTACCGACAGGTCCCACCTCCGAGAGTCCACTGAGGCGAAGCTGTTTTTCCTTCCTTCCTTCCTTCCTTCCTTCCTTCTTTCCTTCCTTCCTTCCTTTCTTTCTTTCTTTTATGTACTTATTTTTTTTTTTTTTGACCCCTTTGGCGGTCGAATGAATTATGTTCCACAGCAACTTGCATCACTGGAGTTGTCATGGTTACAGGTGAACCTGGAAATGAGCTGTGGCAGCCTGGGCTCTGAGCTCCATGGGCTGCACGCCTTAAAGACACATATCCTCATTTGTCTTCTCGTCCTGGCTAGAAAGGTAAGGAGAATTAATATAATTGCCCAGCAAGGTGGAGCCTGTGGGCAGGTGTCAGCCAGGGAAAGGGAGAGCCACTGGCCCTTCAAATACACGCCAGCCACCAGAGCAGTGTCCCGGGACATCTCGCACAATCTTCCCACGCCTCCATCTGCCATGCGCGGGGAGCGGAGGAGAGCAGCTCTCCAAATGGAGAAGCCGAGAGCCATTTCTTAGATAGAAGGTAGGAAATAATATCTTCCTTCCCCTTTTCGCCTGGCCTTGCCTTGCTCCTCATAGTCCACTCTGTTTCCATGGGTACAAGCTCCTGATCACTGGCTTAGTCCTGACTTGAATAGTCATTTGACATCTCCAGTTTCACCCTCATCACTCCCTCCTCGTCCTAGTTTTGTACTCATCCTCCTTCTCCCTTTTCTCTTAGCCCAGCCCAGCTCAGAGATTCTATTCTGTCATCAGCCCACATGACCAGTTCCTACTGGGGTTGTATGGGTCCCGGTGAAGGGATGGAGGATACAGCTGGGGGTGCCTTTAATTCGATGTCCACATTAGGGGTACCTACCTTGTCTCAGTGCTATACCAGATCTCTCAGATCTCTCTGGTTATGCTATTTCCACAAGACAAAGTCATTTGGAAAATGTGCAAATCACTCCCGGGGACTTCGGATGTATCATTTGCCAGCTTTCTGGCCCAAGTCCAGTTCCGTCTAGCTTAGACCTCAAACTTCTGGCCCATGAAGTAAGGAGACTCGATAAAATAATCTCACTGTTATCTGAGCGACTGTGCGATTAGCTCGCGTCCCTGGTGTGATTAGACTCACCCAGTGGAATAAAATAGATTAATCCTGAATAGAGTGAAAGCAGGCACCCATGGCAACAAGGAAAGCCATGGGCTTATTAAAAATAGAGAATTGTCCTTTAAAACTGTCTGCATTCATCCCAAAGGCACTTAAAGGAAGTTGCTGTGGCCAAAGCAGGTGAGTCAGCAGCTTTATTCCAGTCTATTAGTGAGTCTCATGAGAACGGCTGTCATTTCCCGGACATTCTTCTTCCCCAAACACTCGCAACCTATTGGCAAGTGAAAAGGGCAGGTGGCACAACAGTGTGCGCGGTGTGAGCTCACTTTGATGCAGCGGTTCTCAACCTGTGGGTCGTGACCCCTTTGGCGGTCGAATGACCCTTTCACAGGGGTCGCCTAAGACCATCCTGCATATCAGATATTTACATGACGATTCATCACAGTAGCAACATGACAGTTATGAAGTAGCAACGAAAGTAATTTTATGGTTGGGTCACAGCGTGAGGAACTGTATTTAAAGGGCCAGAAGGTTGAGAACCACTGCTCTGATGTAACCACGCAGAGCAGGCAGCTCGGAAGGCGATACAGCCAAACGCTCACCGTGGAGCTCTCCGGATGGTGCAATTACGGGTGATTTTAAACGGCCTTCGTTTAGCCTTTACTTCTGCCCGCGGTGAACATGTTATTACTGCTTCTGTAGAGAAAGCACAAACGCTTTCTCAAAAGACCTTTTCTTTCCAAACGTGTGCCCCCTGAGCAGCAGAAGCCTTGTGGGAAGGAGCCTGTGCCAGGGTGTCACTGTAGCATGAGGAGGTTGGGTTCCCTGGGGGCCTGTGTCCAAGCCATTATCGCCTGCCCGGCCCTCCACCCACAGCGTCTGTCTGCCATGGCCCCGGGGAAAACAAAGGGTCATTTCTGCACGTTTTCAGGCTTCTGTATATGTAGAAACTTTGACGAGGCCAGGGAGCTTTCCCTGTTTTGAATGCGTAAGACATCCCTAAATCCTTTTAAATCAGTGTGTGCGGGAGAAAAAAGCTTTCCCCTACCCGTCCGGGTCTGATCATCACATAGACATGAGGCTGATTAACAAGAGGAGTTGTTGCAATAGTCCCCTCTTGTGGACATTATGAGAATAGCGCCCTAGTAATGAATTCTGCAAGTCTGAAAATAAAAGCCTTGTCCCACAGCTCCCTTAAGCTGTCCTCCTGTTTTGTTTTGTTTTGTTTTTGTTGGTTTTTTTCCTTTTGGCTCTTTGATTGAGGGGTTCTTTTCTACCCTGTCTTCTAATCCTCTGTTCCGATCTTCAGCTTCCCCTAATCTGCTGTGTATTCCTTCCAGTGTGTTCTTTATTAATGCTATGTCATTCTTTATTTCCGACTGCTCTTTTTTCACAGTTGCTACATCTTTTCTCATGCTGTTGAGCACCTTTACCATCATTATTCTGAACTCCATATCAGATACATTTCTCATCTCCATTTCATTCATCTCTTCTTCTGGAGAATTCTCTTGTTTCATTTGGGGGTTATCTTTTTGTCTCCCCATTTTGGCTGCCTGTTTGGGATTGTGACTATGTATTAGGTAGATCTGCTACACCTCTCAATCTCTAGTGCAGGACAGTGTCAAACACTGTTTTTGACTAATTAGATCAAGGAAGGAAAGCCTCCAGAGACCGCCTCTGCCTGCAGACGGGTTGGATTCAGTCTGGAATAGCTCTCAGGCAATGGTCCACAGGGGTGTCAAGAGGTTTTCCAACCGGGTGGGGCAATTGCTTCTGCCTGGAGGCTAATTGTTATTCTCACTCTCTCAATGGGCCCCAGAAACTCCATACCATGGAGAAAAGGGTTTTTCCAGTAGGTTGGGTCAACTGTCTTCCCCCGGGCAAAAACCGCTTAGATAGCAAAGGTCGGCCTGAGAAAGACGGCCTCCCCAGCATGAGGAATGACTCAGCACAGGAAACCAGGGTACGTATCTGCCTTCTGAGCTCCAACCCCAGAGCCCCCAACCCTGGCTTCTGCTCACACAGCTCCAGTCCACTCTGCCCTCCCTCTGCCAGAGCAAAGGTGAGTGGCTGAGCTAGAAATGTTGTGTGTTGGCCCTTTAAGAGGGTGCCTGCATTTCCAGCCATCTCTCCCTGGCAGACAGCAATCCTGCTGCTTTTCACAGCCAGATGTTATGTGGGCACTTTTCTTAGTTCTGGTGCTCTCTGCTGGGGGACTCAGCTTGGGGATTAGACCCCAGAATTCTCAATGGCAACCCCCCACAGCTGAGATCTCTCTCCAGAACTTCAGCTGCTGTCTGTGGGAGCCCGGCCAGCCCTTTCTCACCTCCGTCCTTTCTACCAGTCTCTATGCGGTCTCCACTCTCGGTCCTTGGTTATCAGGCGTCTCTCCAGCTAGTCGTTCAACATGATCTTAATTTGCTTTTCCCTAATAGCCAGTGATGTTGGAAATATTTTCATGTGTTTGTTTGCTCTGTATCTATGCTCTTCAATAAAATATGTATCCATGTCTTTTGCCAATTTTTAAATTTATGGCCCAGGACACAGTTTATTTTAATGTATGTACTATGGGTGCTTAGGAGAGAGTGTGATCCATTGTTGTTTGATGGATTATTCTGTAAGTGTCCATTAGATCCTGTTGCTTTGAGCTTTTCTGTATTCTTGCTGACTTTCTATCTAGTTGTCCTATCAATGGTTGAGGGGAGGAAATTGAAGTCTCCAACTATAACTGCAGATGTGTCCATTACTGCTTTTCGTTCTGTCACTATTTGATTGTTTTACTTTGCGGTTCTATTGTTAGGTACATTCACATTTAGGGTATTATGTCTTCTTGGTGCGTTGACTTTTTTTATAATCATTACATACAATCCGTTTATCTCTGCTGATTTTAATAGATGTTGATTCTGTTTTGCCTGAAATTAATAAAGCCACTCCAGCCTTTTATTATAATTATAAAAAGCACTGGCCAACCCTTGCATTCATCCATGACTGCTAGAATTTCTCGGTTAGAGGGCTGCATGTTTTTAAAGACTTTTGACTGTATTGTCAATTGCCCTGCAAAACTTTACCAACTTACTGCCTTAATACCTGGGCATTATCGTTTAAAATGATTATAACGCCAAGATAGGTTTTCCCCAACTCAATAAAGGGCACTGTTTGAGAGATCTGGTTTTCTGCATACTCACCAGCAATTGTTATTGCGGTTATTTTTTTCTCATAGCTCAATGTGGGTGAAGGTAGTCATGGCCAGTGCACATTTAAATGAGTGAAATTAAAATGTATCCTAGCAGAAGGTCAAGGTGTCTAAAATTTGTAAATCAAGAGACGGGGCATATGTATATTTCAAGCATTGGAAGTAAATGCCAGCTGCAGCAGCCAGGAGAGTTGGGATTGGTCACCCTTGAGGAGTTGGACAGACCGGGTGGGTTAGGGTGAGGCTGGCAAATTGGGGTGATGCAGAAGAGGAATGGTGCTTTTGTATTTAAGTTCCCCGTCATCGTACGTTGTGTGAAGCACGTGAACGTATTACTCACTTCGACTTTATAAGTAGCATCTGGTTGCTGGTTTAACTCGCATTTAAATTTATTACCAGGACTCCCATAATTGCCCAAACTTAACACCAGTTAAAACAACCTCTCCGGGAGCGAACTACAACTCCCAGGATCCCGCGGGTTGAAGAGGTGGCGTGCTCTCGGATTCAAACTACAATTCCCAGAATTCCGCGGGTGGTTCCGGCCGGGCTCGCTCAGTGGGGCAGACGCGCATCGGGCACCCACGAGCCCGGTGGCGGCGGGCGGCGGGCGCGGCGCTGCTGCGCTCCCTGCCTAGGCCTCCCCGGCTCGGGGCTGGCACCGGATTCAGCCAAAGTTGTGGCCGCAGAAAGCCTCCTGGACGCGAGGGCGGAAGTGGCTCAGCCCCGCGGAGCCCCCGCCGCAGGTGAGACGCGCGCGCGGGGCGGCGAGGGCTCCGTGACCCGCCTGGGTTTGGAGTGTAAGGATACGTCCGGACCTCCCCGGAGAGTGCACCACGGGGCCGCCGGGTCCTGGGGTGGAGGGGAGCCCAGGGAGTTTGCAGAACGGAGAGGGGACGTGTGATGCAGGCTGAAGGGGGCGCGGGAGGGGGCAGGGTGGGAGGACGTGGACCTGCAGCGTCCCGGTGCCGCCGCCCGCGCGCCCGTGCCCGCTGACGCCCTTAGCTCGGCCGGGACCCGGCGTTGGGTCCCCAGGCCTGGGAGATGATGGCGCGATGGGGCGCGGGTGGCAGGGAGCCGGGTGAGGTGTGCGAAGAGGCCTGGCCTCCCGAGCTCCCTTGGAAGGCCTGCAGCCCGTT